TTGGTTTTCACGTCGCCAAAAGTCGAAGACGTAAAGTCATAGCCGCTGAAACCGTGTAAAAGTATGTTTTTAGTCACTGTGTTTTCTTTAAGACCAAAGGGTGAGTAGATCTGTGCTTCATGAAGTAAATATTGGCGGATTGAGCAAGTGCAGTTAATAGAACTAAAAAATGTATATCTTCGCCGACAATAATCACCGATGGATAAATTGATACCATTTCAATTTTCTGTATTAACGATGAGACAGTCTACGTCTTCGTCAGTTTGTCGCACTGTCGACTTCCTTTTAATCATTTCAATGAGGCGATGTTTATTTCTGCTGTTGGATAAAAAATTTGCCTGGCCAACACGGAGTCATAGATTCATCAAAAATTATTTCAACCGATGACTGCTTTCTTTCCCTTCGCAATCTTTCTGCGCTCTTCAGGGGAGGTGATGAACCAAGAAATTGAAAATGACAGTCAGCTAGGTCGTGAAAGTGGCGAAAACCAAGCAGTTATCGTCTAATGTCCCAGCGTGCGTACGGCACCAAGGCCCATGTTCTGAGACGCGCTAACGCCTTACCCATTCTCCCTACGTCAAAATATCATATGACTTTTTTGTCTCAAATTTTCTCTACTTTTCAAATTTCCAGATAGTTTTTCTCTGAAATACACAAATTAACAGGTTTTTTTTAAAAACGATATTTTTTCTTTTTTTCAAAAATTGGGGGGGTTGCGGGGGGAATTTTTGGTGGGAAAATTCACAGACACATAGACACAGAAAACATAAATCAAGCCTATGTCTAGAACTATCATGAATTTTGCATCCTAGACTATAAATTGGTCGAGCCGTTACCTTAAAAAATTGCCAACGTACGTACGTACATTAATACAGATGGAAAAAATTTTAGTCTTGGGAAGTTGCTTAAAATGATCTAAAACGTCGACATTTGATGAAGTTTTGACATGTCCAAAAAACCAGCTCAAGCTTGGATGTTAAAAATCACCTAAAAATGATTGAATTTGAATGGATGTTGGGGTCAACTGTGGCATTTAAGGCGGCTCTGCAGTGAATGTTGAGCTATCCGCAAAACAGCGAAACATTTCTTTAAAATGTTGATTTTATAATCGCATTTAAAAAAAGGGCCGATGTCAAATATTGTAGGTATTAACCAACAGAATGATTGTGCGTAAACCATTTTTTGAAGTTTGCCATAATTTTGGAAATAACTAGTACAATTGATAAAAAAAGCTCCTCTATAAAACATAGGGTTTTGGAGATTAACAACCAACTAACAAAATTGTATGATTGTACATAAATTAATCTTTTTCATCCCTTAAATTAAGAAAAAAAAATTGGGGAAAATATTTTGATGACATCATGAAGTATTTCACCAATTGTAAGCAGAGTTAGGCAACTTAAATTACACCATACGCCCGCCGGCGAAATGGTCATTAACTGGCAATTGCGAATTAATCCTATTTATTTTTCTAACAATAGCATTAGAGATTAGGCTATTCATTGTTATCTGTAATGAAATTCACCTCTTTGGGCTTTGTCCGACGTCTTTAACACCTTCCCGTTAATTAGATATCAATGTAATTTAATTTATTTCTTTGCTGGTTTCATTGATTAGAAGTTTGTAATGGTAAGGTTCTTGTGGATACCTACTTCCGTAATTACACCAAGTATTACAGGCTGTTGCACGCAAATCGTTATCTACAAGCTTTCATTGATCAATTAAATCTGAAAATGTGCATACCAACATTCCAACAGTTTTTCTTGGCCTATCGAAAGAAAATTTATTATCATGATCGTTTCACTTTCGGTTCTATCGCATGTCGGTTGCAACTTTTTATTTTAAGTAGAACACCCTGTATTGTATTGCATTTTCGAAATCTACATGAAAGGTTCAAAGGTTTTCAAGATTTTTCAAAATTTTTAATGTTTGACTGGTACCTAGTCCTGTATGTATGACTCCGTTGACTTGAATTACAAAATCGACAGTAGGTACTCACATGCTGCTGCGTGGCAATGATTTAAATTTTGATAGGCCTTCTACAGAGTGTTTTAAAACTAATGGTCAACTTTATTAACTTCAAACCTTAAAAAGTTGATTTTTCCAACGAAAATGTTTTATTATAGATTTTCTGAAATTGTGACCGTTATGCATACTTTTCTTATAGGACGCATTGAAATAAATGCGTTAGTAGATGTTATTTTACCAGCATTTGAGACTTGACACGAAGAAAACAACTGGTTTCAACATAACGGAGCGCCGGCGCATTCTATCCATCATGCTTATATGTCTTTGACGCACATTTTTGAAGACAGGAGCCAGAGGTCCGTGGCGTTGGCCTCCTAGAACTACAGATATAACGCCATTGGGCTTTTTTGTGTAGGGTCATATAAAGACAAAGTTTACTTCACACCAGTTGCTTTCCGTGAAGAGCTGGAGTTAGGCTGAGAAGAGCTTTTAATGAAATGGATGTAGAGAGGCGACTACCAAGTACTAACGGGATTAATCGGAGGATCCGATTATGTGTAGTGTACTTAACCCCCAAAGTTCTACGCTACCTTCACACTACAAGAACCGGGAAATAAAGTCAACGTATAAAAATGGCCACCCCAATGACTATTCCCTCCAAAACGAAACAAGATCCCGCTTAATTGAAAAGTGGCACGTGATCAAACATCTAAGGCAGAGCCCCCTTACCTTAGATGTAAACAACGATTTGACCTGAAGCACAGTAGGGAAGGAACGTAAAATAAAACACTCAAATTGTGAAAGTTTGTTTAATAATGATCGCAATTATTAAGATTGTGAAAGCTCAGAAATTTAAGTCGAAATAAATTACATTGCAAAAATAAACTTTGAAAATGGTAAAAAGTTCACAGAATAAAAATAGGCTGGGAAAAAAAGAACTAACCAAGAATAAAACCAGCCGTGAAATTAATATCAAATTGTGTTGTAAAATTAATTTGTAATGATGTGAATGCGTAACATAAAATTATAACATCACAAAAAGTAGCAGGTAAACTTCAAGAGGTAACATATAGTGTTAAAAACAAGTTTTGGGTTATTATGGGTCAGGTAAGCACGTACCAAGATTCTAAGAAAGGGTGAAATACACAGGATGTGACTCATCTTTGGTGCAATAAAGTCCTTTTGTTAAAAGCAAGATGGAAAATTACATAGCCTTGTAAGGAAATTTAACTAAAAACAAGATATGTGGAAATTATAGAATCGCCACTCATTTATCGCACATAGATTCTAAACTGAAGAGCTTTGATTAGCGTAATCTCGCCCCCTCAAGATAGGTAGCGTCGCCCCTCGTTCGGGGTTTCGAGCCTACAGTTGAATGTCGAAGACAATCACGGAATTAGTGTCATAGCTCAATTTTGACTACAGTATTTACCACCGCCGTGACTGTTTCATTCACGGAGAAAATTGTTAGTTACAAACAAGTCAGTGCATACATCAAGCGAATCGGTAATTTCCACATATTAAAATAAAATGATTAAGACTGAACGAATGTTACTTCACGGACAAGACCAAGTAATCAAGATCAATAAACATAAATTAAGCAAGCATTACACCAAAAACGTAAACAATTACAAACAATAGCATAACGGTATTTAACATGTCATTCTGCATTGCGGTTAAAACAAGTAAATTTCAAAAACATAGATTGAAACACACAAGAAATATAAAATGCGACATACAAAACACAAATACGATACCTATAAAGAAATGCAAAAATTACTACCTGCATTAAATAACACCAAAAATTTATGGAGCGATGCGTTCATCACCGCCATTCAAGACAACATGCCCAACGTAACCTTCATTCGTGCTTTCTAGGTGGCGCAGACAGCTTTTCCCCTCCTGTGTGCATCGTCGTAAGTTGTATATACAGGGTGGAACCTCTCATATGTATTAAAAAAACGGTGGTCACGTAGAACAAAACCTCAATTGATGTTGGTTTTGTTTATTTTTATGTTTGTTATTATTACCTGTTTCTGTTTATTATGTCATCTTTACTTAACTTTTGATTCATCTATCATCATACTATCAACTAGAACTATAAAATGGTCTGACAGGTCTTCTAACGCTTTATCAAGGCCTCCTCAGAAGATTATGCATAACGGTCACAAATTTAGAAAATCTAAAATAAATCGGAAGCCATAGGTATACGGAATGTAATACTACATTGATGTAGAATTTTTTTCGACATTTAAGTCACAAGAAAATAAAGCATGTAGCATAAATCAACTTTTTAAGGTTTGAAGTAAATAAAGTTGATCGTTAGTTTTAAAACACCCTGTAGAAGGGCGATCAAAATCGATTTTTGAATTTTGAAAAATCTTTAATAACTTGAAAACCATTGATGTTGGGTATAGGGAAATGTGGTATCAAACGACGTAGATTTTCATGTAGATTTCGAAAATGTAATAAAATACAGGGTGTTCTATTTAAAATAAGAAAGTTGCTAACATCTGGTAGAACCGGAAGTGAAAAAATGATATTTTCTTTCGATACATCATAAAAAACTATGTTGAATGTTGGTATATATATTTATTTCAGATTGAAATTATTAATGAAAGCCTAAATACTTCTATGTAGGTAACGGTATTTGTAAATGACTAATGTAGTCATTTCAAAATAAGATAAGGGGTATTTCAATTTATATTCACTTAGGTACTAATTGCTTTGTTTGTGAATGAATAGCACCTATAGCCTGAAGCGTTTTACAATGTATTGTTAGTTGCCTACAAATTTTTCTATCTAGGCGCAAGATCGAAATCTTAATTCACTGCAGAGCCGCCTTAAAGTTTGGTCCTGTGGTCAAATTCGGCGTTGTGATTATTCTGAAAAGTTGAGGGTTGTATTCAAGATATTTAGTTAAAGGTTGTGGTCATTCTTAAAAGTTGGAGGTTATGGTCATTTGTCAAATGTATACTTACGTTTTTAGTAAAAGATGAGGAATCAATCTACATACATACTTTATTCCTGACTCTCCTGAGAAAAAAATTTTAAAAAATGAACTTTTACATTAGTTACATTCTATCTTATAAACAGGTTGTTAAAATACGATTTTAATTTGACAATTAAACTTAAAAGGGAAATTTAGCCAACGGCTGACGTAATAAGTTCAGCAATATCTGCATCGGTAGACCTCACAGTTAACTGCATGGTAACGCCATCAGCTAAAGCTAATTTAGATCTCACTAATATATCGTGCCCGCCACGAAACAGGCCTAAAATATAAAATCGCAGCATACTAGAATAAATGAATATATTTACCGGCAAGCAATAGCGTGTGGGTGGTTTTTCCCTCGGGAACCTTATCGGTTCGTTCTGCGGGCTGTAACCCTAAAAATTGTATGATATTTTTAACCGCCTCTTCTAAGGTGTTCATGGAACTCAAAGAGTATGTATCCTCCATTTCAACAAAACCATTAGCAGACTCGTCCCACGAAGCTGCCCAATTCATCTTGGTCACTCTCTGAATTTGATCGCCAAGTACCACTTCTAAATCCTCTAACATGTATTCGTCATCGTAACCTAAGCAGGGAAATTAATAGTTAAATTACAGTTGCCATTCTTACCTTCATCCGTATCAGGTAGACCCGTGTTCGGATCGCAATCCTTCACGACAAACTTCATAACAGCTCCGAAGGTTCCGACCGTATTCGGCAAATCATCGGGAAATTGCAGAATGATATAAACAGTTCCCATCTCGTTATACGGTAACTTTTGGCACGGAATGTCCTTTACAATTTGGTAGCCTTCACTAGGATCCAGTTGAATTCTTACATTCTCGAGCAGCTGGTCGTTTAGGGTATTTATACAATCGAATTGCAAAACCAAGTGCCTGGTGAAGCAGTGCTTTATACAACAAACAACGTACTCAGTTTCGGATTCTGTAAGTTCCACAATTTCTGAACTTTTAAATAGAGGACCGAGCTGCTGAATGCCCGGAATTGCGCTGAGTTTTTCGGTATAATTCTCCTCTCTAGAAACGACTGGTCTTGGTGGACCTGTGCTTATCAGCATACCCTCCGTCTTTTGATTGCTGATTTGTTTTTCCTCCTCTGTAGGAGCGGCGACTACCGGTACCGACTTAATGTTAAATGCCTCGTCGGATTTACTCTGTATGTAGTCTTTGAGACAACGTTCCAGAGACGGTATCGAAACCTGCAACGGCTCTAGAATGTAATTGTTGTACAATGATTTATCTTGTTGTCTAAGAATACTGCTGTAGTAAGTTGCACGGTCACGAACTTCGTCGTCTGTATCCATTTGGCAGCGAGCTAGAAGGACTTGTATATTTTCGGACAGATCGGGACAGAGGGCGCCAAACTGAGCCATTGCGGACACGGCGGCGGCGCGTACGGTGGGGTTCTCCAATATTACGCGATTATATATGAACCGAATGTACCTCGACGGCTGCTTCGTACGAGGCCCCTCTTTTCCCAACAGATGTAAAATTCGAACGGCCAGAGAGGTATGTTCGCAATCTTCGATGAACTCGCACAGGTGAGCCAGACCGGTCTCCTTCGCGTCCGCGTTATCCTCGATAATCGTTATGATGGTATCGGCGATCGAGGCCTTGTATTCTAAGCCGCCTTCGTCCCTTAGCATCGCCGATAAGAAATTCATCAGTACGCTATGCTTGCGCGGGAATTTCAGGGCTAAAGCGCGAATCGCCTGTACTACGACGACTTTGAATTCGTCGCTTATTTCCGAAACGAAGGTGGCGATTTGCTTCATTAAGCGATCGACGGACGATTCAGCGCCTAAGAAATAAGATCAAATGTGTAATAAACATACGAGTAAATTACGGAAGCGAATATTGCTAGCACAAACAATGAAAGTAGACCAGAATTCTTTACGTGAACTGACAAAACGAATCAAACTGTGTAATGGGTGGTCCAATTAGAATAACAAAAATATTTTTTAAGGTTTGTTTTGTCCAGCATAGGAAAATGTGCACCGCTTCATATGAAACATGAACGAACATATGTCTGGCGATAACTCTCTATAAAGTCACTGTAGCGATAACAAGCGATATCAAAAAACGTATTGCGGAAAGCGAGCGCGGTTGCCATGATCTCTTCGGACCTAAAAGTTTCGTTCCGTTTTATAAAAAGCCGAGCACGTGATGGAAATAGGTGAAAAATAGGTTTAATAATAGATTTAAACAGCGAGAGAAGGAGAGCGGTAATTTTCGACAGTTTTAGTCACATTATTCAAATTCCACTAATAGCTCTTAATAAGCAATGATCCTTAACAGTTTTGTGGATACCTCCTTGCCTTGGGAGTGCAATATTATTGCAAATTTCCATATATCGTGGGAGTTGAAGGTAGCATCACTAGAGTGATGGTGGTTTCCTACATGGAACTATACCCATGCTTTTAAATAAAAGGGATTTTTTGCAACGCACCTACCTTTATTTAGATTTCTTATTATAACCACAATAGTTACATCGATACTTCAAATGAAAAAAATGTAAGCGCGTTAATTGTTTTAGGAGTGCCATGGAATGTTTAGTGCTGTTATGTTCATACATATTATTTGGTTGCAACAAAAACAGTGCAGTGAAAAGTATACCTACCTGGCTGGCAGCCATTAGCATGATTTCATAATCAAAATAGGCCGTTTTGTTTTTTGTTTCTTTTTTCCAACCCTACATTTTCCTTTTGTCTTTGCCACTAAATTGTTTAATCCTTGTCAGTATGTCATTATAACTGTCGCTATTTTTCCATTGTACTTCTACTACTAAGATTTTGAAAGCTCAGTCTCTGTTTTTTACTTCTGATTATTCACCCCACTCCTTCTGCTGCCTATTTCATTTTTGGTACTACACTGTACAGGGTGGCCAACTAAGAATGCGAGGTACTGTATCTGAGAATCTATCCATCGTAGAGGCTTGCGGTAAAAAAATTTATTACTAAAATGGCCACGAGAAAAACCTGGAAAATATTTTTAAGTTTCTGAAATGACCGCTAGGGGGCGTAACTGCAATCTGGAATCTAAAAAAGTGATGTTTCTGTGAATTCCGCTATATTAACCTAACAAAAAAATGTCCGGTCTTTGAAGTTGACGATAATCTGAACAATTTTTGTTTGACAATTTTTCCTGTATCTCTAAAAATGAAGTGGTGGGGGGTATTAAAAGGTTTCCGTAAGGAACACCCTGTATCTTAGAAACGACTGAGCCGATTTAAACAAACTCGGATTAGTTTAAAAGAGCTATTCTTCAGCTACAGATATAATACTATTTGAAGTTTTGTTAGTTTCACATATCACCGCTTGAGGGCTCTTTTCGACATTCCGACAGAAATGGTTAATTTTCTCAAAAAAATTAAATGCATTGGTTCGATTTGTTTTTTCATGAAAAAGTAGCTAAATTATGCTTAAACAAGCTCGCCAAAACAGCATCTCGATATCTTGATATATATATATTTTTATATCGTGATGGCCAGCATTTCGAGCATTTACGGCGGCATTAAAAGCTTCCTTTTTTGAATCGATTAACCTTAGGGTCACTAATTATATAATAAAAATAATTCCGGAAAAATTAGCTTAAAAAAATAAAATTTTGAGTGTATAAAATTTTCTTTGGCCTAAATTTTAGGTTAGGAACAAGATATCGAGATGCGGTTTTCGTGAGCTTGTTTAGGCATCATTTAGCAACTTTTTCATGAAAAAAAAACCAAACCAAGGCATTTAATTTTTTTGAGAAAATTAACCATTTCTGTCGGAATGTCGAAAAAAGCCCTCAAGCGGCGATATGCGAAACTAAAAAAACTAGCCGAAGAATAACTCTATTCAATTAATCCGAGTTTGTTAAAATCGGTTCAGTCGTTTCGAAGATACAGAGTGTTCCTTACGGAAACCTTTGAATACTCCCCACCACTTCATTTTTATAGATACAGGAAAAATTGTCTAACAAAGAAGGTTCAGATTATCGTCAACTTCAAAGACGGGACATTTTTTTGTTAGGTTAATTTAGCGGAATTCACAGAAAAATCACTTTTTTAGATTCCAGATTGCAGTTACGCCCCCTAGCGGCCATTGCAGAAACTTAAAAATATTTTCCAGGTTTTTCTCGTGGCCACTTTAGTAATAAATTTTTTTTACCGCAAGCCTCTACGATGGACAGGTTCTCAGATACAGTACCTCGCATTCTTATTTGGCCACCCTGTACATATAAGAGTAGATGTCATCCTTTTAGTATTTCTTGTCCTTGTCCCTTTTTAGCACATTTCAAACAAATTTGGAAAAAACGCGCTAATGTCCGTGTTTTTCCCGTCCTGTCTTTATTGTAGGGTGTCTTTATGAGTATCAAACAAAAGCTTACTGTAACAGAACTCCATATATAGAAAATTGTACAGTTTAGTAAAAATGCATAATCTAAATATTGACACGTAACGATAACTTTGTGTGTGCGAATGTGGTCGTGGTATCTATCTGTTATTTCAGATGAAAATAAAGTACATTAAAATTTATCCTGCGTTATGTACCTATTGTATATTATGGACGAGTAAATGAAGCGTGTCGTTGTGATTAAAATAAGAGCAAGGAGAGCGAGATAAATACGTCTATAGTTACCGAATGTCGAATGACAAAAAGCTTATAATAGCGCAGACAAGATAAGATGTAAATGAGATCAACATATAAAAATGAGGTAACTATAAATATGAGTGTAAATAGTGAAGCGCGTGGTGGTAATAAAAAAAATTTTTTTTTCGGGTAAGGTGTAGCTCAATAAAGGCATTATTATTATTATATTAAGCCAATCTATCCACTAGCGAATCCCGAAGAAAGAAATTAAGCCAAGAGCGAGAAATTATCTATCCATTAAGCCATCGCTGTGCCGTAGACGAATATTTTCACAGTATTTCCGATTGTGTAACTCAGACTAGGATTCTGTAGCCGATCGCCTCCCTTTGAATTTCAATAATCTCTTCATGATATCGGGTATCGCGTACGATATATCGCTTATTGTCTATCGCCTTAGTATGAACGCCGCCTTAGATTCGCAAAAAATTACAAATGACGCGTCTAATCACGCGCTATGGAAGAATGGAGTGTAAACCCATAGAGCGTAAAATGTAATGGAAACCGTTAGCCGTTAAAAGCAGCAAGTATTTCAATAAACATTTTCCAACACAGTCCTCGTAATATATGGTAATAGTACGAAATTATAAGTTCAGTTAAAGCTGAACTGTGGTGCTAAGGGGTCCCTGATTCGGGCTTGGCTATTTGTAAATGTATAGTGGGTTGGGTCAGCTTTGGCTGAAACCCCGCCCACTCAAAAATAAAGGCAAAAAATAAAATATTGCCAAGCCTTACTTTCATTCATTACTATTGTGTTAAATGTTATGTATGGCATTATTCAATATGCCATGTCTCAACTTCTCCAACATAGGCGCTGTTTTGAATTATAAGGCCTAAGGACCAATAATAGCAATAAAATTATCTGAAGAAGGGCCAAAAAAATCTTTGTCATTTTTCCCACACAGGGTCGACTCTGCCTTGCTAAAAATGAAGTATCAGGGATGATCTTTACCACCTGTTCACGATTTCATCATTTTTTTAGTTTCAACTACATTCAAAGGTTCATCATAATCGTCATAATTGTGGCCCGTGTGGAGCAGTTCAGTTGAAGCTAGACTGTAGTGCTAAGGGTCCCTGGTTCCAATCTAGGTTCAGGGCATGGATATTGGTAAATGTATAGTGGGTTGGGTTGGTAAAACAGCCTTGGCTGAAACCCCGCCCACTCTAAAATAAAGGCAAATAAATAAATAAATAATGAGTGGGGACATATTTCCTCTGTCAATAAGTATTTCTGAACAAGTAGTCTGTAATGAATTCTGGGTTTAAGAAATGAGGAATTTAGTAAACATGTGCCTTATGTTTTAAAAATGCTCAAAAATGTACCCCCCACTCTCCCCCAAAGTAATTTTACCTGTTTTCAATAAAGTCGTTATAGCCAGAGTAGCAATGGACCTATTTGAATCGGTAATTAAATTTTCCAGATCCAAATTACAAGCGGTAACTGCCGCAGGATGATTAATTGCGACTTGGTTTAAGGTCCGAACAGCCGCAAACCGCAAGGTTGGCTTTGGTGATCCGCAAAACAATTGCAGGACGCTTATGGCAGGCCCCAACTCCCGACTGGTGGTTCTTCGCGAGTTGACAATTGCGTGAGCCGCCTCGTATATGACCATTTCCGATTTGTGGCGTAGACAAGATTCAATAAAACTAAACAAGGCGGAGTCATTACTGGTCTCCTCCTCTTCCAGTAGCTTCGAAGCAATACGAATCTTAAAACATTTACTATAGCAGGCTCTACTTGTCGGAATGCGAAACTTACCAACATACAAATGGCGTAATGGGATTTCAAAGACATTCTCGTTAACTTCGCAACAAGCTTAGTAACGGCCAAACGATCGGACTTGCGAATATGATACAGAACACCTAAGGCGTGGTACTGAACCATAATACTACAACAATTCCATCACGCCACGAAAATAAATTCGAAAACCTTACTTGTCACTATTCACAGCCTCTTGTGCTTCATTAACCCATCGCTTGATCACATCCGAAGCAATTTTGCTCATGTGCAGAGAACTGACCAAAGCAGCTGAGCTCACAGCCGGATTTTTATCCACAATCGCTTGCTTCATGTAACGTTCAATTGTTTGCAACATCGTAACATCGGTAATACTACAAAGTGCACGAATTGCGGCTGCTCTATACAGATCCTCCTTGCCGGTCATATCTTTCGTTAAACTAGACGTCACGATAATTACATCATCGGCTATTGAACTAAGCTCTTTGATGCCCAAATAGACCATGCGACGTAAAATAACATCCTTCGACTGAAACAGCTTGGTCATCGCAAAAAATACTTCAGTTGCCTCTTTCGCGCCCAACTGTTCACCCTATAAGTAAAGGTTGGAGATACGTTACACAAGAGCGCCCGTACCTGGTTGAGGAGGTATAATATTTTCGTCAAAATGTGAGTACATTTCTTGGCGTTAATTATATTTTCATTAAAGATCCTAGCTTCTTGAAGGACTGTGGTCTTTTCAATGTTTTGGAAAGGATTTCCACCCCCTACAACATTCGTGATTTATTTCGATACAATCCTAACCATTAACTACCATCTTCTTCCTCCTTTTTGTCCCTTTTGAAGGAACTCATATTGAATAATAAATGGATCGCTTATTCGATCAGTTTTCCAGAAAAAAGGTTTTCCTTCCACAGACACGTCAACATAAGTCAAAACCACATAACCTAAATGCCACAAATCCAGAAATATGTTGGAATTCAGTGCTGCCAATCGCCCACGCTAAAAAACACTAGAATGGGTGTATTTGAAAAATGTAAATTCAAAATGATTCCTATTTATGAGCTAAGTTTCGAGCAATGAACATTTATATATTTTCCTCCTCAAATATTTTCAGAGTATTATTATTGCATTATTTATATTTTAATGAGATTTATTCAATGAGAACAATTGATTATATCCAGTGGCGTAGACGTTCTATATTATAATAATATGATACCTCCATTGTATATTGTATTTTATTTTAAAAAATAACTGTAGGCATACTACTTTTGTTTATAGCCATTTATGAATAAATAAAGGTAGGTACTGTCATTGTATACATAGTAAATATAAAATGGTACTATACTTATCCAAAGAAAGCAATTCGGAACCAGAATGCCATTTCTCTACTTAATTTATTCGGGTTGTAGTATCCATATCCAAAGATATTAAGTCACGTGGTTTGAACAAATGTTCCTTAATGTCATATTAAACCATTTATACGATTGTAGAACGGTATCAAGTGTTCTGTGACCAGCATTTTCTCCTGGGCTTCTCCCTATAATAGTAACGGTTGAAGCAGTGCAATGATGTAGAAAAGAATATGAGCCATTATCAGTAATCTTTTAGAGATGAGTCATACACAGCCTACTTTGAATTGAACTAAAGCGCTCTCTAGTCGCACCGTACTCATGAATTACACCTATTTCTGTAATGTATATTATCTGGGTTGGATATCTTGAATTACAGAGGTGGAGATTTAAAAAACGCACACCTACTCTTCAAAAGACCTATCATCTTCAACAGTACGTCAAAGACTACTTTAGCTTTGAGATGTTTTCAATTGTTAGCGCTAAAAACGTCTAAAAATTTAAATTTTTAAATCACTTACGGCTTGGATTGAATGGCGTTCTTCAATCATTTCTTTATTATTAGTGATTATTAGTGATAATGTAGCGTGCTCGTGCTTAACGCGCCAAATACCAATTTAACTTTGGCAGTGCCATATTATACCTATTACATTTACGGTACCACGTTCAGTTTTTTATGGATTTGGAGTAGAAGATACGCTGTCTTTCTTAAGATAATAAAATCGAGCGGTGGATAATTCATATTAAAAAAATCAAAGATGCGTCTTTTTCATTTTTTTAAATGCCTTAACCGCAACCGAAAAAAATGCATGGACGGCACTGCTTTCGGACGAAATTAAAAAGTACGTGCCGTTACCAACCTAATACAAAAAAAATACTAGTATGTTATTTATCTCAGGTGTCATATAGGGGCAAAATGTCAGTAGACACAGAAAGTTCAAGTATGTCAAGATTATTAAAACTTGCTCATACATTCAACTGCTTTTACTTGTCAGGTAAATTATTACGTTTATATAAATTATACGCGCAGTCTAAGGCCCACCTCCATTCATTTAACGCACAAAAACCGTTTCAAAATTTACCTTTCAATGATACTATTGATCATGTATACAGTATACACCCAATCATTTCCAATGCAACATTTACTAGTATTTATGTTTCAGGCTTAAATTCGGGACAATGTAGACCTTTCATTGTCGAAGGATTCCAAGTGGGACTAATCAGACCGGATGTAATGAAACAGTTACTTAGATATCCGGAGGTAAAATTAAATCAGCTTGCACAGAATTCAACCGCTTGCTTGCTAGGTGTTTCGAGTGACATCGGACTACGTCGAATTAAATCCGGCATTTCGCGATTACGAAGAACGCACCGCTCGGGTCGATCACGTGCTGCGCGAGTTACGCGGCGATCACGCCTTCATCGCCTTAAAGGGTTGGCGAGACGAGGTGAGCATTGATTGTACCACACTTTATTCATTTCTCTGTTTTTTTACTTTATTAAGAAATAAAATGGAAGCCTCGATAATTATTGTACTCGTTATTTATACACATTTGAACATAATAAATTTCGCCTTTAAATTAAAAATGTTTTTTTTTTCAAGCTAACTTTCTACTTTTTAATTTAGTTATCATCGAGTTGACCTTTTATTAAGATGTCAATTTTTTATTATTTCAATTTACAAGGACATTTGCATTTCATCTCAATAGTGGATTAATGATCTATATGCATATGCTCTAAAAATAGTTTTCGAAGCATTCTTTAATAGCCAGCAAATGTTTCATTTTATTTCTTTTGTTTATATTTAAGAATGTTTATCCCTTCAATTAGAATCCAAGCTCGGAATCAAAACAACATTGTAAACATGTAATGAGATAATCATAATTAAACAAACACATTTGCATAACTCGTTTTCTGTATGTGAAAATTTCATGATAAAATTGAAGGAGACTGAAATGAAAACTGTTATGTAAAGTCACCTTATTCAATGGAATTTTGTGCGTAATGCGTATATGACACTGCATAAACACTTCTAAAAACAAAATACTTCCAAATAGATCAGATTAGACAAGATTACTCCAATAACATCATAACCCACTTTATATTCCAATCCTGATTACTTTATGCCAAGAGTAGGAAAATAGAAACATTTCAATTTTAGACTCTGAGCTTGTCAATTTCTTGTCTGTTGTTTGACAGTATAATGTCCAGTTTTCTATTAAAATTTGGGGAATCCCTTGTTTTTCTATCAATTCAAATGTTTTTGACTTTCTACCCATTCACAATTTTCCCAAAGTGACCATTCTGGAATTTTTTCCTAAGTTCCTTTCCATATTCTAGAAGTTGCATCAACTTTTTTATAATCTTAAAACCACAAATCAAAATGGGTCCACAGCTTAATCCCTGTGGAGTCCCCTTAAACATTGAGATTAGACTGGAGTACCGTTTTTGATACGAATTTATGTTTTAGATAGTTGATTCTTATTCTGCATTTTTTTCTTATTTAGTGCTACGAAGTGAAAGTAAAATTCCACACCGAAAGTCTACTACGTATGGATAGATCGGCGACATGTTTATTCGGTATACGTAATTATGGAGTAGACATAAATGGTTACGTTAGGCATCCAAAATTAGGTTTATGTATGTGGTTACAACAACGATCCAGTACAAAACAAACTTGGCCTGGTAAACTTGTGACTTTTTCGCAAACTTTTCTGTGAATCTTATGCATTTACAGATAAGTGGGACAATATGGTGGGCGGCGGGCTGTCTGTAGGTCACAGTATTTTAGAAACGGCTCACAAAGAAGCAATGGAAGAAGCCTCAATTCCTACAGACTTGCTAAACAATTTAATAAGTGCAGGATGCGTTTCGTACGTAAATGGTAATATAAAATTGATCGACTAAACACACGGTTTCAGATTCTATTTTGAATCTGAAAGGGGGTTGTTTCCAAACACTGAATTCGTGTTTGACTTAGAGCTTCCCTTGGAATTTGTGCCCCAAAATGCCGATGGGGAAGTACAAAAGTTTGAACTCTTAACTGCCCAACAATGCGTCGAACGAATATTAAGCCCCGAATTTAAAACTACTAGCGCTCCTGTTACTTTGGATTTTCTAATTAGGCATGGCTTTATCTCGGCGGAAAACGGTAAGTTTCGTTCTTTGTAACTTTACGTATAACATGTGTCTTGCAGAACCGTATTACAACATGATTATGGAGTTGCTTCACGTTCCACTGCAGAATATCTACAATAACCAAAGCTTTAAAGAAAACGGGCAAGTTATTACAAATTCTAATGTATAAAAAATACTTTAATAGCAAGTTGGATTTTTGTTGATTCCAGTTGAATTTGTGACAAGAAGCCTTAATCCATTACTTAATTTCCTGTTAAATATTTTTTAGAATTTTTTAATATAATTAAATGTAGTATTCAATAATTTTGTACTTAATTGCAAATATTTTAAATTTTTTATTGGTATTTTGTACGGAAGGTGTGAACAGTGAAGTTTCAAACTGATTTTTAAAACAGTCATTCTTCGTTCATATTCAGCAAAATGATACTCAACGCTATTTTGTATTATGTTAAAAGAATGTTCTCAGTGACTATAATCGTTATTACATTTTTATGCCGCTTTTTTTTTATTGTGATAAGTTAAGTAACATCCCCAAGATTTTATTTAAAAATGAAAGTCATTTATGGTGGTTTATATTTAAATGTATCCATCCAACGAAATGTATTTATTAAACAGTAAAACAGTATGTACGAATTTTCTTGAAAACACTCCTTCACATTGGTGTTACTTACTCCTAGTGTCTCCACAACAGCAATAATGAAGCTAATGTTGAATTATGATTTGATTACGCACAGATAAAAGTTAAAATTAAATTGGAACAGACAACAGCTAGACAGATATGGTGGGGGATATGATATTAGGTAAGAATTTAATCCTGTTATACATGCTAAAAGTTGTGTCATGAAAGTCGAAAGTGAAATAACTTTCCAGAAATTTTTGTAGTGGCAATGTGCTTTACATGCTGCAAGTCTGATGTAGTGGCTCCATTTGTAGCGGATATGTAGATACCCAACGAGTAAACACGTGGTTATTATTATTTGGTAAGGTCGAAGAAGTTCACAATGAAGTTTTGGTATTTTATGTGCTAAATGGCGTTTGTTAAATAAGGCCATTGAAACGGATGTAGAAAAGGCTGTTAAAATTGCTACAACAATTTGCTTGTTGCACTATGTGGTCATGGACTTTGAAGGCTCCCCTAATATTGTAGTAGAGAGACAAGCGCTTGAAGTATATAGAAACCAAAATAATGTCATCAATAACGTCATAAGAATGTGTAGAACATTTAATAATAACGCAAATGATGCAAAACAAATACGAGAAAAATTTCACCGATGTTTCAATGGACCTAGAGTGGATCCGTTCCCTTTCAAACAAGTGTTTAAACATGCAGTTTTGATTCCTTGTTAAATTCTAATAATGAAATATGTAACTAAATAAATAATTTACTGTTTAACATACCACCCTGATTCCTGAAACGCCCATTTTTTCTCCAATGTCTTTCTATAAAAGACTATATCTCTGTTGTGGTACCTATCTTTTATCCGTTGATTCCAAAGAGGTGGATTTTCTCTGATGAGGTCATTTAAAAGTGATTTATCCACTGTCTCTCAAGTCAATTTACGGTCGTATAGTCTGAGATAATATCAAACACGTTTGATTCGTACAGACCGTCGGAACGTACACGTATGTGTCTTGTGAAAATGTGTCTGTCGCTGTCTGAAGGGACAACTGTAGCCACTTATCTGGTCTGATCTGCTCTGAAACGTTGCTAATGTAGTCGTAGCCTAAGATTCCTTTCACATTATCCGGTTTGGCCGATCAGGTTCCGGACCTCAAGGAATCGGTTTGTGTCAGGATTTTCATCCGGTAACGTTTTCTATAAATGGATTTGGCGGTTCATTCAACGCCAATATTGTCGCTCGAAATTGTCCAGAACGACCATATTAATGCAACCTCCTGTATTACTTGTAAGTATTGTAATTAAATATAATTTATTTCTGCAAGTCATTACATTATTATGACAACATCAAGACACAAGTAACTTGATACTTTTTACATAATAATAATCTATACTATTATACATCTTCCCTCACAAGTTTAGCCTTTCTGGTTGTTTTATAGTTCTGCCTGAACGAGTAGTTAATTTTGTATTTGTCTCTGATGGTACAAATGAGGGACTATGTTTACAAATTTCAGGCTTAGGTACAACACGGACATCACTATCAGAAGATTCAGTGCCTGAACAAGATTCAGGTTCAAATGATGTGTCAGTCACTTTAAATGCGTTTTGTGACGATCTTATATCTACGCGATTTCTTCGTATAGTGTTGCCCTTATAATCCTGTAACACATATGATCGTGGATTCTCATGCATTCTTTCAATTTTGGCGGGTTCCCACATTTTGCGTTTGTGATTTAACACAGTCACATCACTACCTTCATTAAGTGGTTTTAACGTTTTAGCTGTTCTATTGGAATAGTTTTCATTGAGCTCTCGCTTCTTAAGCATTTTTTTAGTAACACTTTCGCACAACTTAGGCTGTAGTAAATCACAAGTGATTGGAACTTTAGTCTTACAATTCCTGCTATTTAAGAGCTGTGATGGAGAATATCCCATCCCTTTTAATGATGAATTGCGATAGTTCAACAAAGCGCAACTTAATTCGCCTTTGCCTTCCTCTAAAGATTTTTTAAGCAGGTTCTTAGCAATCGATACTGCTTTTTCTGCTAATCCGTTTGAACGTGGATATTCTGGACTACGTGTAACAAGAGTAAAATTCCAATCTTTTGCAAATTCCAAGAATTTCTCACTGTTATACGGCACATTATCAGTAAGAAGTATATCAGGGGAACCAAACCTTGCAAAAACTGTTTTAAGTTCACAAATTACAGACTCGGCACATTTATTCTTAATAGGTAAAACTTCTAACCAGTTTGAGTATGCGTCAAACAACACACAATAGCTTTGATTAGCATAAGTAAAAATATCTGAACCTACACGTTCCCATGGTCTTTCAGGGATTGGATGTGATATATTTTGTTTAGGGTTTTTTCTGGCAAATTTCTCACATATTTTACAACTTTTAATATATGTCTCAATATCTGTTGTAATTCCAGGCCAGTAAAAAACTTTTCTGGCTTGAGATTTTGTTTTTTCCATACCTAAATGGCCTTCATGCAGTAATTTGATCATCTCTAACCTTAGCTTACGCGGAACTACTAACTTATTTTCTAAGAATAACAAATTTTCAGGCACAAACAATTTTTCCTTAAGTTTATGATAGACTCTGATATTATCTGGAATTTTACATTTTTGATCAGGCCAACTATTGTTAATAAAGTAAAGAACTTGACTTAGTTGTCTATCTTTCATTGTTTCATTAGCAAATTGTTGAATTCTGTCTTTGGACATAGGTAGGGTTCGGATAACTGAGTGTACCGCAAACTCTATGTCATTGTCTGTCCGGGGTGATGTTTGTCTCAAAAATGCACGAGACAAAGCGTCAGAGATATACATATATTTTCCTGGCCTATATTGTATGTTAAGATCATATTTCAGTAATTTCAATCGCATTCTTAAAATTCTCGGTGATGCTGACTGAAGGTCTTTTTTAAATATTGCCTCTAACGGTTTATGATCACTATGTATTTTTGTGGGCATGCCATAAATGAAATAATGAAATTTTTTTACAGCAAAAAGAATAGCCAGAGTCTCTTTTTCAATTTGAGCGTAAGCTTGCTCAGTTTTTGACAACATGACTGAAAACCTGACCGGGCGTCAAAAACCTGATCACTTATCTAGTCGACTTATCCGGCGTCAATCAGGCGCCTGATTGGAACTCGACAGTGTGAAGAGCCCTATTCACAACAATCCACTAATGCTCGTCAGTTTTTCATCAGATCCGGAACCTGTCCGGTCAAAACCTGATAGTGTGAAAGGAGTCTGAAATTTCAGGTGAAAGTGAAATATTTCTCGTCCAAACTGAAAATTGGAAAGTTATTCCATTTTCAAGAAAAACACCTATTGCGCGCATGCCCTCGGCTAAGAGAAGCTGAGAGAACCAGTATCTTTCTCACCTGATAGTTGAAATAATGAAATTTGCTGCTATGTCCAAAAAAAAGTGCTGGCGACTGTGTCAAAATAAAAACTCAAATTTAATTTAAAAATGGAGTAAATATGAAATTAGTACCGTTCAATCAATCTTCCATTTGATAGCGCAGTTTGTTACCTTTCCCTGAAAGTAATAGTCAGCTTGCGTTGGTCGGAACTTGCTCTTGTCGAACGGTTTTTTAAAATCGCTTTTCAAACAAAATTTATATACCATTAAATACGTAGGTAATTATACAGGAAGAAGTATAACGTTTATCGATTGATGTGTATTACTGTAATGTTTGTTGCATACCGTTAATTTGTTTACAAAAATTCACAATTCTTTGGTATTTAATGCACCCAGCATTACAGTACTCCTGACTCCTCCTCTCTACTTGTCTAAGCTGTCAATGATGCAGACAGGTCAGCCATGTTGCCAATTTCTGCCCGAATTCGTCTGGTTTATTTAATAAACTGGTTTAACTGCTGTATTGCGTGTATGATGTTACGTTACGGGCGGGGGTTACTTATAATGACCGGTCAATGTGAATAATTGAGGGAAAGAACATTTTTGAATATCCCCCCCCCTTCCCCAAATTCATTTTTTTAAAATTCATTGTCTTCTCAGTTTTGCAAATGGTTCTAAGTTTTAAACGGAAACGCACCCCAAATTTATCACATTCATCGAATAATCACCACACTAATTTATTACTTTGATCGTAACATTTATAATATGAAAAAGGTCGTTTCGAAAATAAAGAACACTAACTATGCCACAGTGCGAGAAAAAAATTCACCGTACTGTGGTGCGCGCGATAGGGGCCCGCGGCGCTATTTAGGGTGGGAAAGATGCCGCCCTTTCTTTCAATTCGCGAAACCGGAAAAAATAAATAAATTAGAATTTAGTGTTTAGTGGTTTTTGTTTACTAAAATCACTCATGCCGTGAAATCATTGAAACAAATATTTTATTTTCAATTACAATTATAATTTCCTTAATTAATTTCTTCGATTTCCCACAAGAAAAAATTACAATTACATTTTTGAACAACCATTAATAAATGGAAAGTTTGCGATTTATGGCGAAACCCAGCAGATAATATCGGTGCAATTAGTCCAGCAATTTCGTGCTTTGTTGATTCTACAGTACTGTCGGATGTATAGTTAATTATGCAACAAATCGGTTAACGTATTTTCGCTCGTGGCCGCGGAAATCCATTCTTTATGAAACATATTGCTTTTCCTAACTGGTTACACAAATAAACTATACCTACTAAATTTATCTGATTAGCTCGTTTCTTTCGTTGTTGCTGACTGAATCAGCGGAACCACTGACCCAGCTACTACCTACTCGTTTCCCAGAGCTACTCTTTCCATACCTCGCCTCCTTACTGCTAATTGTGCACCTATCTGGAAGACTAAGGATCTCCCCGTCTTTCAACCAACGTGTTTTAGATTTAGGCTGTTCCTCCTCACGACTGGGTGCCTTACAATGCAGCTTTACCATGCTGTGCAGCGGCAAGATTTGATTGGCCTGACCTATCTGGATTATCGGACGCGGGAAATCCGCAACAGAAATGACTTAAACATCTCCACTGAATAGTTTGCACTTAATTGACACACTCACCTAAAGAAATGCCCTCACGCTACTACAACCGACAACGCTCAATGACGAGCAAACAAAAAACCCCGCGTCCTCACTCTGGACACGTCGAATTTTCAATGCCCGTAAGACGTTTCCGGAATCATCAGCAATTGCGAACCTTCATTACTCCAAAATACTGAAGGCGACGGATTGCCAGAAGCCGCGCAATTGAATTCGACGGTACCATTGAGACAAACTTTTTGGTCCCTCGGAGCTTGTATTTTATCCTATTTTCTGAATTATTCGAGCAGCCTTCTTAAAACCGGACCTTAATTTCATAAAATAATTCTTAAAATTTGATGAACGTTAAATTCTGGTTTACAAAGTTCCAATTCTTCCTGCTGTTGGACGCCATTTTGTACCGGTCCCTCCCCCTCATGGAAGAGAGCCAATCTGTATTGGAATCTTGCAAAGTGTTGAAGATTTTTTCAGGTTCGTGGTAAATTCTTCTCTTTGACTAACTTTTATAATTCACTTTAGCCCCTAATTATAGGACCAACCCGCTTAGAAATAACAAATTGTAGCGCTATTCGTTAGATATAAATCTCAATAATTGCACGCTACTGACGTACGCGATCGCTTTCAGAGAGCGAATGCTTAATGCTTTGTTTTCATTACCTACTTCATGAGTCATAATTGTCGTGCCATAATTCCAAATTCTTTGCTTATTATGCTAAAATAATCTTATGTATAATACATACACTTGTAAACTAAATATAATCTTTGAATTACACTGTCAAATTTGAATTATACCCTACTGTAGACGGTAAAAAGAAATTAATTCTTTAATAAAATATTTTCTTTTACAGGAACAACACAAGCATCACTAAATATAAAACACAAAGCAAGTTACTAAGTCAATCATTACGTTAAGTTTAAAAATATGTTCAAACCTTTTCTATGATTTAAATCGGTATTAAGATATCTATGTTTAAATCTTCTTAATAGTGACATCTCTGATTTAAAAGAATAAATTCCTTTGGAGGTTACCCACAGACGGCCATGTTGCGCGCAATGGATACAATTACATATTAAAGATCGGTTCTACATTTTTCGGCTGAACTTATCTTAAATATAACCTATATGAAAGCACTTATTTCCATGGAAATTAACCGTTAGATAGACTTAGCGTGAAAAAACGGCTCTTAATGACCATTGTGATTTTACGCCTGATGAGAAAAAATCAGATTTTGATTCTGCCATGACGATTAGACAGTGGTTCAATGTTCTTTACCAGGTACCTAGCCCTTTAGCGCTTCCTCTTCAAATCATCGATCAACAATAACTAACCTTTCATTCTAATTTCCACTGTAAAGCTGTACGGCTATCAATAAGGTTTTTGACGCTCTATTTCGTTTTCAGTTGGGTGTGTATAGAAACATATGGACTGGTTCGTTGTTCCATTTCATTTAGACTATTGATGCTCCATCTTCCTTCGATTTTGGTACGTGCTCTTCCATAAAATTTTCCCGATCTGCACATTTAAAGTACTGTGTACTCTCTGGCAGTGTTAAACCATGCCTTTCTGTGGAAAATGTAATAGTAGTGATAGGAGCAATTCATTTTATATTTTTGAAGAAGATCAAGTTCTGCGCAAGTCTTCGCTAAGCAATTTGAGAACGCTGCTTTATTTCTTTTAAATTGAATACACCGTTTTAATGAGCTAGTCTAGTCATGCCGTCGTAAATACTTTTTTAATGGGTTCTAAACATGAAGCAAAATGTTTAAAAAATTGGGGGCCGAACCATATCCACGATACGCAAAAGGTGAGGTGCTGTTATAATGCGCGCCATTGCTTTGGTGCGGTTTTGGGTTTTTAATTTTTTATTGTTAGAACATGGTTTTGACTCTGCAAACATATGTACCAATCTAATTGTATAAATAATGAACATAGGAACTTCCAAAAGATTACTCATGAGTAAAGGTACAAAAATCCTTCAATTGATATCTTGGATTCTTGCAATGTCATCTATACTATCGCATCACAGATCAACTTTATAAATATTAAACTACGTTCCAATCTAAATACGCCATTACTATACGGCATCCTTGTCAGATAGAGTAAAAAGGTTGTCATTTGAAACTTGTTCTGTTACGGGTTGGTCCTTATCGAGTAAAGCAGTTTTCTCAGCACTTGCACAGCACCTAAAATTGTTACTTATAGTTTAATTAATAAAAGCCATCTCTAATTTACCTTGCGGTGATTCTTTGATACAGGACGAGACACATTAGGGGCACTGGTGTCATCATTGCAACATACACAGGAACAACTAAAAACAATGAGTATATTTTAAATGTCAATATACCAATTTGCAAACCTGTAGTTATGTCTGCTTCGGGTTGCGGCAAGGCGAACCGAAGCAAAAATATTGCTATCCCAGTATTTTGCACTCCAGTTTCGACAGCTATCGTAAGGCAAAGTTCCTTGGATTGTTTAAACAATTTGGCAAGTACATACGCAAGTATATAACCTAACCATGGCAATCCCATACCTCCAACTATAATCTACAAGAACAGCTAATTATTTGGATACATTTCTGCAGGCCATCTTACCTGCCACGAAAATATTTTAAACAAATATAAATTGGAGACTATTGCAAATATAACTATGAATAGTATAAGGAGACCGGAGAACGCTTTCAGTATTCTAACAAAAAAATTCGACACTCTCTTGCAAAACCTCTGGAGAAGATATCCGATAAGTAAAGGCACCACTAAGGCTACTGCGTATGTCGATATTTGGCGATAAGGCACTTCCAGTTTTGCTTCTTCAAAAATAATCGCTCCCAGAGTAAACAACCACAAAGGCATCATTCCAAACGCACAAAACGTGTTAATCGTTGTCATAGTAATCGATTGATGAATGTTTCCATTTAAAATGGCGACCCAAACATTGGACGCACCACCACCTGGGGAGATGCCAGTGAAAAATAATCCCAGCTGCATTTGGGGATCGTTTGGAAATACTAATCTCCCTAAACCGAAGCTGATCTAAAAATAAAGTGTTCGCTACAGCGAATCAGCTATAGTACACCTACCAGTGGCATAAAGACAAACTGTCCAACGAATCCAATAGCTGGACCTATCGGCTTTTTCACGGAGGAGTACACTTCCTTCCAGTTCAACGCGCAGCCGAAGTTAATATAAATTATGGAAACTAAGGTGGCCACTGTCGATGTAAAAACCGTGTCGATGACGCGCTTGGGTCTAACCACCTTTACTGCCATCTCACCACTTGCCAGAATTTCAGAGTTGCTGTTTTGTAGGTTTAATAAAACCGTCGTTTTTCCTATGGACATCAGCTAGAGCTAGAGACTTTTTGTTTTATAATTTACCTAGAAAAACGCCCGATACTCCAAAACTTCCCTTGGATTTCCAAATACCGTTGGTAGTAGCTTCATTTTTGAGTACAATGAAAGCATTCTGGGGCTCTGCTAGTTTGTTGTCTTTACTGTGAATAAATAAGTACAAGGGCGAGGGGTTTAGTGAGAAGTTACCCTCGACTGTAAAATTGCTGTAGGTTATTGTATCCATTATAATTGTTTCTTCTTCATTCTGAGTCTTCACTGTGAATTTTTGAGCATTTATCATACAGCTACATATTAACAAGATGGTAAATATCACTACGGGTGACAGCATTTTGTTACGGAAAGAATTTATCTGAAAATACATTGATTCAGGACCTATTTATAGTATAGCATGAATAGAGAGCACAGTTAAAACGATAAAATTGTAATTACGCCTGTACTTACATAAATACTGAAAGCACGAGCCGAAAATGAAAAACAATTTGATAGAGTAATAAAAAACGATGGAATAAAACCGTAATTTGTTATAAACTCACTATTTCAATGCAAGCCATCTGAAGGCAACTGACAGATACTATAGATTGATGTTCAGAAATCATTAGGTACAACTTTGCCCATTTATCAGTCATATAATCTTGAGAGATAAGTGGTGATAAGTACTTCTAAAACAGAGGACCGTACTTAGAAAAATTACATTGTTTTACATTTCTTGCTTTCCAAAAAATGGCCAACATTCTCTTTGACTGAGTGTTGGAATAACGACTGAGAGGAGTGCGTCAGTATTTCTGAAAGTGGTTCTTACATTGTCTACTTCAAATCAATTCGGATCATGCACAAGTATCTCAGTAGTTAAAGATTAGATCTTGGTGGGTACAGCAAGCGAGTGCATTGCACCACAGCGCATTTTACTCATTGTCAAGAGTATTTTTTGAATTGTGTATGTTCCTCTCAGTTGGTAACCGACTATATCAAGTGTGTTTATTAATCACTGTCTCTAGTTTCTTGATTGTGCATAAGCATAGTCTGTGAATGTCCTACTTGTGTAGTTCAGTAGCAAGTAAAATTTTTGAATCAATAATGTGCATCGAATTGGTCAGCTTGTAATTCTACGCACCAAATCTATGAAGATTGTGACGTTTGGAGATGATACTTGAAAATATACTTAGAAATGAGTTTTACTTCATTATCAAAAAAATTCGTAACTGGTTCAAGTTCAACTATTTATTTTTACGACCGAAACATCCCTAAAATCGTCTCGATCGTCCACATCCCCATTACGTTCTCTGGCAAGGACCACTCAGTTTAAAAATTATTTGTGGTGGAATTGAGCATAAATCATAGAACTTTATTACAATTTATTAAGGGATGATACGTGTAGCTTTGTTGTTAATCACAATATTTGAACAATTCCAACCGAAACATCCCTAAAATCGTCTCGGTCGTCCCCATTACGTTCTCTGGCAACGACCACTCAGTTTAAAAATTATTTGTGGTGGAATTGAGCATAAATCATAGAACTTTATTACAATTTATTAAGGGATGATACGTGTAGCTTTGTTGTTAATCACAATATTTGAACAATTCCAACCGAAACATCCCTAAAATCGTCTCGGTTGTCCCTAATACCATCTCTGCCAACGGTCACTAAGTGTGAAAATTATTTCTGGTGGAATTGAACATAAATCAAAGAACTTTATTACAAATTATTAAGGGATGGTACGTGTAGATTTGTTATTAAGCACAGCATTTGAACAATTCCAACCGAAACATCCCTAAAATCGTGTCGGTCGTATCTATTACCTTCTCCAGCAACGTTTGAAAATTATTTCTGGTGGAATTGAGCATAAATCATAGAACTTTATTACAATTTATTAAGGGATGATACGTGTAGATTTGTTATTAATCACAATATTTGAACAATTCCAACCGAAACATCCCTAAAATCGTCTCGGCCGTCCCTAATACCTTCTCTGGCAGCGGTCACTAAGTTTGAAAATTATTTCTGGTGGTATTGAGCATAAATCATAGAATTTTAAGATAATTTATTAAGGGATGGTACATGTAGATTTATTAATAATCAAAATATTTAATCAATCCCAACCGAAACATCCCTAAAATCGTCTCGGTCGTCCCCATTACGTTCTCTGGCAATGGCCACTCAGTTTAAAAATTATTTCTGGTGGAATGGAACATAAATCCTAGCAATTTATTTCAATTTATTAAGGGATGATACGTGTAGATTTGTTATTAATCACAATATGTGAACAATTCCTACCGAAACATCCCTAAAATCGTCTCGGTCGTCCCTAATACCTTCTCTGGCAACGGTCACTAAGTTTGAAAATTATTTCTGGTGGAATTGAACATAAATCATAGAACTTTATTACAATTTATTAAGGGATGATACGTGTAGATTTGTTATTAATCACAATATTTGAACAATTCCAACCGAAACATCCCTAAAATCGTCTCGGTCGTCCCTAATACCTTCTCTGCCAACGGTCACTAAGTTTGAAAATTATTTCTGGTGGAATTGAGCATAAATCATAGAACTTTATTACAATTTATTAAGGGATGATACGTGTAGATTTGTTATTAATCACAATATTTGAACAATTCCAACAACCGAAACATCCCTAAAATCGTCTCGGTCGTCCCCATTACGTTCTCTGGAAAGGACTACTCAGTTTAAAAATTATTTGTTGTGGAATTGAACATAAATCATAGAACTTTATTACAATTTATTAAGGAATGATACGTGTAGCTTTGTTGTTAATCACAATATTTGAACAATTCCAACCGAAACATCCCTAAAATCGTCTCGGTCGTCCACAGGGTCGTCCCCATTACGTTCTCTGGCAATGACCACTCAGTTTAAAAATTATTTGTTGTGGAATTGAACATAAATCCTAGAACTTTATTACAATTTATTAAGGGATGCTACGTGTAGCTTTGTTGTTAATCACAATATTTGAACAATTCCAACCGAAACATCCCTAAAATCGTCTCGGTCGTCCCCATTACGTTCTCTGGCAATGGTCACTAAGCTTAGAAATTATTTCTGGTGGAATTGAACATAAATCATAGAACTTTATTACAATTTATTAAGGGATGATACGTGTAGCTTTGTTGTTAATCACAATATTTGAACAATTCCAACCGAAACATCCCTAAAATCGTCTCGGTCGTCCCTATTACGTTCTCTGGCAATGGCCACTCAGTTTAAAAATTATTTCTGGTGGAATTGAGCATAAATCATAGAACTTTATTACAATTTATTAAGGGATGATACGTGTAGCTTTGTTGTTAATCACAATATTTGAACAATTCCAACCGAAACATCCCTAAAATCGTCTCGGTCGTCCCCACTACGTTCTCTGGCAATGACCACTCAGTTTAAAAATTATTTGTGGTGGAATTGAGCATAAATCATAGAACTTTATTACAATTTATTAAGGGATGATACGTGTAGCTTTGTTGTTAATCATAATATTTGAACAATTCCAACCGAAACATCCCTAAAATCGTCTCGGTCGTCCCCATTACGTTCTCTGGCAATGACCACTCAGTTTAAAAATTATTTGTTGTGGAATTGAACATAAATCCTAGAACTTTATTACAATTTATTAAGGGATGATACGTGTAGCTTTGTTGTTAATCACAATATTTGAACAATTCCAACCGAAACATCCCTAAAATCGTCTCGGTCGTCCCCATTACGTTCTCTGGCAAGGACCACTCAGTTTAAAAATTATATCTGGTGGAATTGAACATAAATCATAGAACTTTATTACAATTTATAAAGGGATGATACGTGTAGCTTTGTTGTTAATCACATATTTGAACAATTCCAACCGAAACATCCCTAAAATCTTCTCGCTCGTCCCCATTACGTTCTCTGGCAATGGCCACTCAGTTTAAAAATTGTTTCTGGTGGAATTGAACATAAATCATAGAACTTTATTACAATTTATTAAGGGATGCTACGTGTAGCTTTGTTGTTAATCACAATATTTGAACAATTCCAACCGAAACATCCCTAAAATCGTCTCGGTCGTCCCCATTACGTTCTCTGGCAATGGCCACTCAGTTTAAAAATTATTTCTGGTGGAATTGAACATAAATCATAGAACTTTATTACAATTTATTAAGGGATGATACGTGTAGCTTTGTTGTTAATCACAATATTTGAACAATTCCAACCGAAACATCCCTAAAATCGTCTCGGTCGTCCCCATTACGTTCTCTGGCAATGACCACTCAGTTTAAAAATTATTTCTGGTGGAATTGAGCATAAATCATAGAACTTTATTACAATTTATTAAGGGATGATACGTGTAGCTTTGTTGTTAATCACAATATTTGAACAATTCCAACCGAAACATCCCTAAAATCGTCTCGGTCGTCCCCATTACGTTCTCTGGCAAGGGCCACTCAGTTTAAAAATTATTTCTGGTGGAATTGAACATAAATCATAGAACTTTATTACAATTTATTAAGGGATGATACGTGTAGCTTTGTTGTTAATCACAATATTTGAACAATTCCAACCGAAACATCCCTAAAATCGTCTCGGTCGTCCCCATTACGTTCTCTGGCAATGGCCACTCAGTTTAAAAATTATTTCTGGTGGAATTGAACATAAATCATAGAACTTTATTACAATTTATTAAGGGATGATACGTGTAGCTTTGTTGTTAATCACAATATTTAAACAATTCCAACCGAAACATCCCTAAAATCGTCTCGGTCGTCCCTATTACGTTCTCTGGCAATGGTCACTCAGTTTAAAAATTATTTCTGGTGGAATTGAACATAAATCATAGAACTTTATTACAATTTATTAAGGGATGCTACGTGTAGCTTTGTTGTTAATCACAATATTTGAACAATTCCAACCGAAACATCCCTAAAATCGTCTCGGTCGTCCCTATTACGTTCTCTGGCAATGGCCACTCAGTTTAAAAATTATTTCTGGTGGAATTGAACATAAATCATAGAACTTTATTACAATTTATTAAGGGAAGATACGTGTAGCTTTGTTGTTAATTACAATATTTGAACAATTCCAACCGAAACATCCCTAAAATCGTCTCGGTCGTCCCCATTACGTTCTCTGGCAATGACCACTCAGTTTAAAAATTATTTGTTGTGGAATTGAACATAAATCATAGAACTTTATTACAATTTATGAATTACTGATGAACTGAAGTAACCAGACATGGAAGTCAAAATCACCAATGCTAAATGGATTTTAGTGGATACCTACCCAAACAAGGAATGGATATAGTCGCACCTCTTTTCAGTTTCTAGGCGTATGAGCACTTCTAGATATAAGTGGGATTTTGGAGATTCCCCTTTGGAATGAACCAAAACTATCCAGGGGTACGAATACTTGCACAGAAAAACACTCAGTATCTAGCTTGTTTTGTTGTAATGAGGACATTGGCAGCAACCTATGAACTTAGTAATTAACGAAATATCTATAGATAACATCTGATGTGGATAATTCTGACGCAGCTAGATCACTATGAAATCGATTAAACTCCGATGTTGTATTATTGTTTGTATTCAGAGGTCTTTATCTCTACGTGTCTACACGTAATCTTGAAAAATTTCAATTACTCGCTAATAAACTTCATCTCTCACGTAATTTGATTATTGCCGTATATCGTCCACTTAATTAATAATCTATTTACTAAATCGTTGACCTCCAAAGGTACAACTTAGAAGTGCTTTTCTGTTCTGGTCAAAAATTGTAATAATTTTAACGTAAATTTATGACGAATTAGAGTGCAATATGGCAACCAATAGTAGGTACTTCTGGTACTGGTCTTCAAATCAATGTTTTTTTTTTTAAATTTGGCATATGTTAATATTGAAAAGAACCAAGAATTTATTGTCTATGATGAACAATGAAATCTGCTAACTGGTCAATTTGTTCGCCGTTCGCACTAAGTGTTATTTTGAATTTGTTCTGAGCAGAAAATTTGTTACTAGTATTTTTATCGTTTTGTTGCATATTCAATAATAAAAGATATACAGAATGTTCCATTAAACAAAAATAATAAGTGCAAAATCTGGTTAATAAAAAATGGACATTATGGGACAATAATTTTTTTGTTCTGTACAGTAAATGTATGTATATACACAAACTTTTATAAAGATCGATTTGCATAACGCCGATAATGGACCATTATGACTATTATGAGTACCTGTATACAGGTAAGAATAATGACTACGGGACATTTGGAATTATATTTGAAAAAGACAAAAATGTAGGTACCAATATGTACCTAGCGTGCAAAAATTAATGCAAGTATGCCGTTAACATTCACTCAAGATTAATTTATATTTATGTTAATCTAGGTAATATTAATTTGCCTTGACAATCAGGTTTAGTAAGTGTCCTTTTTATGCGACATTTAAAATATTGAAATCGGTGATCTATTTTATTGCACCACGAAGTTGTAATGTCGCCATGCCTGGTATGTTGGTGTAGGAAGTAAATAGAAATTATTGGTTGAATGACATGGTAGAAAAATAAAAAGCGGAAATATTTACCTGGTAGGTAAGTAACTTAAATTGGTTTAATGCAAGGTATTTGCTCAATTTTTGAAAGTAGAAATCGTACCGCAGCGACTGAAGTCGCGAAGTCTACTAACTTTCAACGTGTAATACGCCAACAAAATATTAATAACATTTCGTAATGTAATTAACGAATAAAAGCAGCTTGTACAAGGTTATTATAGCCCCTTTCTAAGTAAATAATTGATCATGGCGGGCTGCAGCGTTGTAGGCGCTCGTAATTATACTTTCTTGATTTGTCTTTGTAGAAAATGCCCATTAATTTTCGGGTGAAATAAAAAGCCCTATTGAAATGGGTTCTGTACTTTGACAGGAGCATTGCCATCTTGAACTGATACCTAGTTGTACAAAATGGCGAGCTTTTACAGAAGGGCTCTTCAGGAAAACAAATTTTTTATTTTCGCAGCAGTTTTGTATGATAGTGTGGTGATTATATTTTTTGACTTGTCTTTCGATATGATTAAGGCAGGTGGGGGCAAAAGTCTGCATTTTTGCATTTGCAATTATTTGCGACTATCTATGAACTTGAAATATTCCAGCCCGTTAGGGCCATTAATTCCCTTGGAACCATCAACCTCAGTGCCCTCATAAACCTAGACATGGGTAAGAAGGGAGTAAGAATACATATTCTCACAGCCAGTCAATCTGTACTGAAGGCGTTAGTAGTTCGTAGGTACCTGCGCCTCCAAACTAGTCTGGGAGTAGGTACCATCTAAATAATGTCGGCTCTATTCACAAAAAAAACGCATTGTATTTGCATGCCCTTGTATAATACGTTCCATTGCAACCATTGTCCATCATTGCAGTGATTAGCATTACGTAAAGTCGAAAAGAATCTTTCTTTTTCCCCACAAACTTTTACTACAGGAAACTCCTCTGGAGTAAATCCAGATACACCACTGTTTGGATCCACATCACTTTTTGAAATGTAGATTACAATTCTTTTCTTGTCTGTTTTGGAGATTCCGGTTCATTTGAAACATTACCTCCTTGATCAATATTAATATTTTGCTTTGCTTTGTTATGACCTTTAAGTCAGTGTTCGTCAAACACTATATTTTATATTTTACCTACCTGTTTTTACATAGGGCTGTTTGGTAATCCGGCGTCAAGGGAAGTGGCCTAAAAAGTGAATAAGAAGTTTTAAGACCAAGATTGTGGCAGACCGGAATGCAAAGCAGAATTTGGAGCTAAAGAAGCGCTCGAGGAAACTGTACGAAAATTTGTTAACAAAGTACGATTTTGTGGTTATTATGGACGACGAAACGTACTGCCTGATGGTAATTTTCAATCAAATTCTTGGGCAGCTATTTCATGTCCGGAAGAGTGCCTCGGAATGTGAAAATTTAAGACGAAGTCGAATTTCCCCAAAAATTTCCTTTTCTGACAATCTGCTTGGTAAGCACTCCAATTACACCAAACCGCGGTACCGCGAAAATGGAGTTACAGTGGTTCTCAAGAAGATGTATCCGGCTAATACTCCAGAACTAAGGCGATTTGAGAAATACTGGTCAAGTGTAAAGCGCATAATGAAGAACAAGTTAAAAAAGTAATCGTAAACAATTTACAAAAAGCGCATTTCCACGCATTCATTTCCCATTTGTATAAGGTGCAACTTCTATTAAAATTTCGCAAAAACTCGACCACAAATAAGAAAGTTAGAGTTGCATATTATGTGCCTAGTTATGTGCAATCCATTTTTGGCTTGCTATTTCAATTTCTAAAAAGAATCCTACCCTAAAATTTTAGAAAAATTGGTTCACAAACAACGAATGTGTTTTTAGTCGGATCGAATTGCGTATGCGCAAAACAAATTTATTTGATTCGGCATTAGTTTTATCTTTATTCGAGGTGCCTACATACAAAATTTCGTTTAAATATCTTAACAAAGGAAAATTGGATTGCGCAAATACAACAGTTATCGTGGACAACGCACAACTGCACACGGACAGACAGACGGACGGAGAGACAGACGAACAAACAGACGGGCAGACAGCAATACAACATAAACGTTCTCGAGGATCGTTAATAAACGGCAAAAGTGTAAAATTATGCTATATGAAAAACACAGATTTTTTATTGTAACTTTTTTCTTAAGCGACACAGACAGAGTTCCTGCAAGCCTCGACGCCATAACGAACCAAATAGCGAAAAAAGTGGAACAATAGCTCTTAAGATAAAGAATTAGTAGCGACTGGACGGACGGACGGACAGTCGGATGGACAGACGGACGGACAAAGTGGCCACAATAGCGCGTTTTTTATAATTTTTGTGGAAATGCGCTAAAAATTGGATTGCGCATGCGCAAAACAAATTTTTCGATTCAGCATTAATTTTACTTTTACTTGAGGTGCCTACATACCAAATTTCATTAATTTAGATATCCTACCAATTAAAAAAAATAGATTCCGCATGCTCAAACACAATTTTCTAATGGACATTAGTTTTACTTTTATTCGAGGTGCCTAAATACAAAAAGCAATACTTTAACGATTTAAAAAATTGGATTGCGCATGCGCAAAACGAAGCATCGATTTTACTTTTAATAAGATATGTGTACCAAATTTGAAAGGAATCGGACATTTCTAAACAAAGTTATCGTTCACACGGACAGATAGAGGGACAAAGGAACAGGCCGACAGACCAACAGACAGACGACAGACAGAAATACAAAATTATAAACGCGTCAATAAACGGCAAAAGTGTAAAATTGTCGAACATGTAAAAAATTCGAACCAGTTGGCGAAAAAAGTAGAACAATAGCTCTTAAGATAAAGAACTATAGTAGCGTCCAGATAGACGGACGGACGGACAGACGGACGGATAGACGGACGGACAAAGTGGTCACAATAGCGCATTTTTTATTTTCGTGGAAATGCGCTAAAAAGGGTGGGACTGTAATTGAACTGTAGGATTTCAAACGGAAGTGGAATTTGGCAGCCAAACAAGTGGGGATCGTGCCCGAAGAAAAGCAATATGCAGGACCGGATTAAGTTTTCTGTAGGCCAAATTTAGCCTGATATTAATTTTTGTTGCAGACAATTTTCGATAATATAAAGCACTTCTACAAATGAATGTCATTTTTTTTGTTTTTTATACAGCTTTTTTTCTGGATTTAACAATAGAAAATTATTCAATGAGATGTTTAAAATCAAGGGATTTCATCAATTTATGTCATTCGATATTTACCGAGATATATACTATATTCCATACATAATGGGCACCCTGTATACTACTACTAAAGTAAAGGTTAAGCCTATCGGATACCAATACCTACAGATTTTTCAGAATAGCAAAAACAGACATTAATATATTTTAACATACTAGAAAACCGCTTTAAAAAAAAGAAAGACAAAATCTGTATATTAGATCATAAAAGTACATCCTTAGACTGGGGCCCTTAGGGCGTGGGGTCTTGGACTGTATGTAGCCCCTCCCAAAGCCCCCCGTCCTTAATCCTAGGCTGATTATACCACCATGGTATAAAGGTAATCATTAATCATTAAAATGTGTTTGACATTTCAGTGTGTTTTTGTCCCGCGACGCGTTTTTCTCCCTCCGAGAGAAAAAGTAACACTTTATCTCTTAAAGAATGACCAAACACGTTGATTTCGTCCACGGAGTACACAATAGTATATTGAAAGACAAGTGTTACAATGCGACCTATTGTAATACGACTATCTTGTGGCACGAGTGGCGACGCGAAGCGTAGCCACGAGTGTCCGCAAGATAGGAGTATTACAATAAAGCATTGTAACACGCGTTTTTCATACTATTTTTTCTATTTCGGTGCTTTAATTTAATTAAAAAAATCATTATCAGAAACTATAGGGAACATTAGAACTAACATGTTTTATGTTGGGAACACTTTTTATGCCGTTAAGTTTTAGGTTGGCAGCGTAGTAAGACTGACATTTTGAAGTTCAAACATGGAAGTACCCAACGAAGTACCTACTTGTACTAACTAGTAACTGCCAACTTAAGAGATGAGTTACCAAAAAAAAACGACTATAATCACTGTCTTTGTACAACTGTTTTCGGCCGAAAACAGTTGTACAAAATCGTCATTGTGACACCGAAATAGAAAAAAAGTATTTCGCGCACGTGACAAAGTTGAACTTAAACAGCAAATTTAATTAACAATCGGTTCAGTTGTAGAAAAAATATTGTATATAACGCTAGCGCGAAGTTATTTCGCGCATTTGACTGATATTTTAACTCGGCTTCGCCTCGTCAAAATACCTTCAGTCTCAATGCGCGAAATTGAACTTCGCGCTCTTGTTATATAAATAACTATTTTATTATACCTGAATCACAATCTCCGTTTTAAACACTCAAATGCGTGCGAAAAAAGGCCTTTAAAACACACGTGCTTTAAAGTTGCTAAGTAACGATACTTCAAGTATGACTTTTGAAACTGTCATCTGGGGCTGAAATAAAAGATCCTCTTAGGTCGCTTTCTGTAAATGCAGAACATTTCTTTGGCTTGTACCTATCCTT